AAACAGGGGTGTGTTAGCCACACAGTCTGAGGGGAAGGGGGGGAACACCCCCAAAAAGAGGACACCCAGCCCCCCACCTTCATGTCGGTGCCGCCGTGGCAGCGCTGGCGCAGGGCGGGGAAGGGGTAGGTGCCGTTGGGGGGGTTGAGGTCGGAGCGGGCTGAGATGGCATTCTCTGCATTCTGGGGGGGGTCGCAGCCCCCACACCGCGACAACGGGTCCTGCAGGTAGTTGTTGGATCTGCAAAGTGGCCAGAAAAGAGGCATGGGGGCAAAAAAAACCCCATACGTGAATTTATAGCGATGAAAAAATCACCCCAGAGGGCTGCAGAGAGTTTTTTTTTTTGGGGGGGAGCACCCAGGTTTGGGGGTTCCCCCGGCACCCACCTCATCAGGCGGACCATGGAGTCCAGGTCGTGGACCAGCGTCTGGTTCCTGCGGAAGATCTGGGCACGGGGATTCTTGTCGTAGGTGAACCAGTCGCCATATTTCTTCACCAGCTCCGGGGTGCCGCTGGCGTTGAAGATCTCCTCGTAGTACCTGGGGTGGGGGGCACCCAGCGAGTCAGCACCCAACTGTGGGGGGCCAGGCCAGCGTTGGCCACCCACCCCCCCGCTTTGTGGGTCACCAGTGGGGTGGGATGAGGCTCACGGGAGGTTGTAGCTGGCCCAGTAGCCCTGCTGGTACAGCAGCTCCGTCTGATCGCCCACCACCACCAGGCCCCTGTGCCGGGAGGAAAAGCATCGGAGGAGAGGGCAAAAATCCATCCAGGATGGGGATGGGAATGGAGGGGATATGCTGGGAAAGGGGGCAGCCCGAGTGGGGGTCCCTACCCCAGCCAGGGGTGCTGAGTCCCCATCCCCTGCACACCAGCACCCCCAGAGACCCCTTGGCCGCAGGCGAGCAGCTCCAGACGGCGCCCGCGTCCCCACTGCCCCCCTCCCACCCGCTGGGCTGGGGTGGATGGGACCTTTTTAGGGCTCCCCCAAAGCCCCAGGGACGGCAGAGGAGTCGCTTGTGCCACGGTTCAGCCCAGAAGCGGGGTGCTGGGGAAGGAAGGAGCAGGGTGCTGCTCACG